ACTGATGTCTGTGTGGATAATGCACTACTTGATATGTATGCAAAATGTGGATCAATGGATGCTGCGTGGACTGTTTTCCAATTGATGAATGATCGTTCTATTGTTTCATGGACAACAATGATAATGGGTTGTGCACAGAACGGGCAAGCAAGGAAAGCTCTCAAGATTTTTGATGAGATGATACTAGAGGGGATAGAACCAAATTATGTCACCTTCATTTGTTTGCTTTATGCATGCAGCCAAGGAGGGTTTATTGATGAGGGATGGAAATATTTCTTCTCCATGAGCAATGACCATGGACTTTTCCCTGGAGAAGATCACTATGCATGCATGGTAAATCTACTTGGCCGAGGTGGGCTCATTAAAGAAGCAGAGGAGTTAATATTGGCAATGCCATTTAAACCAGGCATGTTGGTTTGGCAAACCCTGCTTGGTGCTTGTCAACTTCATGGGGATATTCAAACTGGGAAACGAGCTGCAGAGCGTGCAATGAATTTGGATAAAAAGCACCCTTCAAGTTATGTGTTGCTATCAAACATGTTTGCTGGCTTGAACAATTGGCATGGCGTGGGAGATTTAAGAGAGCTAATGGAGACCAGTGATGTAAAGAAAATTCCAGGATCCAGTTGGATTGAGGATCTGAGATAGAAAAAGAGTGCTTGATCCATCCAGTATACTGGAGATTGCCGTCTAGGGAGAGATTGCATAGTCCATTCGGCATACATTTGTACCGCTGCCAAACATGCAATGATCTTGTCTGAAGGCCGAGGAAAGGAAACATGTCATCCCCATTGGAGTTATAGCCTTTGAAGGAAAGGAATGTAACCGTTGATAGCAAACATAAAAGTCCCAAAAAGGTATACGGAACTGAGAACTCCCAGGCTTGTTTCTTAAGGCCGAATATATATGGATTTGGTCTAGTGGAAAATTCCTCAAGTAGAAGCTGCATGGGTTTTACCGTCGAGGAGAGCTCGAGAAATTTTTTTTTTCCCACTAGTTTACACAAAACTGTTCAAGGCTTTGTTTAAATTGGTTGTTAAAAATAATTCATAATTGTAGCTATTAACTAATTTATTATTTTATAGTTTGAAATTATCATATAAGATATAAAGTTGATGTTTTTAAATACTCTAATGAGCTATTTAAGAAAAATCATCCAAAGCAAGAGAGTGAAAAATTAGATATTTTGTGTGATCTATAAGCAAAATAGCATAAAGACAATGGGTCATCAAAATGCAGCATTTGGGTGACAAGAGGGAACCATGGTCATTGTTGGACGGTAATTCCCCACTGCTCCATGCAAGAATATCCTCTTTTCTCGGAATTTGTCTGTTAGAGCCTGTCTGAATGATTATCTTTAAGCATGAAGAAATGGTTTTTTAGTGAAGAGCTTTTGCAGGAGTTTGGAATCATATATTCTACCTAAATAAAATTATTAAATTTGATAAAATTTATTAAATTTAAAAGTTTACCAGAACAAATTATGTTGTACTTACAAATTTCCAGCCTAAAAGTTTTAAGAGGGAAACGCATTTTTGTATACGGGAATAAATAAATTTGGCTCATTTTAGCGTCGACCTAAGAAACGTCACCCATTTTGCATTGCGCATGCTTGTGTTATCTGTTATCACCACCTCCCACTTCCACCAGCACCAGCACCGGCCACCGCACTCACCTCTTTCAAAATTAACTTCCTCCATCCTCTGTTTGCCGATCTCATAACTGGGTTTCAAGAAATGAGTCTGTGCGGTGGGAGTGTTTCTGCGGCAGACTTCACCTGCCAAACCAACTCAATTCCCATGCCCGCAGGACAACAGAGTTTGAAATTTTCATTTTTACAAGCAAGCAAAAGCACGAATGGGAGGAACGTCGCCCGTGGTCCTTTGCAGGTTGGTTTTTGCATTCACTTACCTTCTCTTCTTTTCCTGACTAAAATAATCGCTTCATCTGCTCCAATGATTTAGGTAATGTGTATGGATTACCCAAGACCAGAGCTTGACAACACTGTTAATTTCTTGGAAGCTACTACTCTATCTTCATCTTTCTGTCCTTCCCCTCTACCGGCAAAGCCACTCAAAGTTGTAATTGCGGGGGCAGGTCTCTGCTATGTCCTTTTTCTTATCTATTCTCAAACTCTGCTCCTTTAGTTAATTTTCTCACTCCAATTCTAACTATTCTAATGTTAGTTTTAAAATTTTTAATTTCAGCTTTAGCTGGTTTGTCCACTGCAAAATATTTGGCAGATGCACGTCACGACCCTCTGTTGCTAGAAGCAAGAGATGCTCTAGGTGGAAAGGTTTTTGTGCTTTCTTTTCTTCTGTAAAATCTATAATTTGAAATTTCTTGCATTCTACTTTTAAAACTTAGAAAAAATTAGTTGTTAATTATTTGGAGAGAAATTTTTTACTTCGTCTTTTATAAACAAGAGCAAATTTTCGTGCAGCATGCCCTAGTGTGAATAGATATTGGAGTTCTTTTGACCCTATGTCATCATACAAATTCAAATCATAGTCTTGGATTTTCTTGATCTGTTACTGGCACTTATTTAGATTTCCATCACATATCACATTGCTAAGTTAATTACTGCAGTTATGGTTAGGCAATTAAAATGATTTTGAAAGGACAATGGTCAATAGTTTAACCCTGTATGACATGGTGTCACCTATATTTGTGATTTCATTTTATTTTTTCTTTTGTGCTTGCAATTTAAAGATTTGGCCTTGTTTCTTATAGGTGGCTGCATGGAAAGATGAGGATGGAGATTGGTATGAGACAGGACTACATATATTCTGTGAGTTTACATCCTTCTTGTTTTTCCTTTTCCTCTTTGTTGAACAGTGATGAAGTTGTGGCCTATTTTGCATTTCTCATTCAATACTTACTGATATAATTGGTTTAAATCCCCTTAGTCTATGTGCTGCTTATACTACTTTAGCGACCATAGTTTTCTCTTGGGACTTCTACATAGATAGGTCCTAAAAAAATCTAGGTATCATACCATTCAAAATTTTATTTCTTTGTTCATGGCCACACAATTTTTATCTTCTAAACTATCTGATGCTTGTCAAAAATAGTTTTTCTTTTTGTTGCTTGAAATATTCATGTTATGTTGTTTTCTTTTTCCTTCTGGAAGTTGGTTCTTTCCCAAATATTCAGAACCTGTTTGGAGAACTTGTCATCAATGATTGCCTGCAGTGGAAAGAGCATTCTATGATATTTGCAATGCCAAATGAACTAGGAGAGTTTAGCTGGTTTGATTACCCAGAAGTTCTACCTGCACCTTTCAATGGTAAGAAAGTAATAACTATTATAATTAAAGTATGAGTCAGTATTAACATCTATAAAGTTACAAATCACATTTGCTCATGACTTGCTTTTACATTTGTGGTTGATGTGATCAACAGGAATATGGGCCATATTGAAGAATAATGAAATGCTGACTTGGCCAGAGGAAGTGAAATTCGCAGTTGGGCTCCTGCCAGCAATGATTGGTGGGAAGGCTTATGTTGAGGCTCAAGATGGTTTAAGAGTTATGAAGAATTGATTTTCCTCTATTATTTTTCCGTGGTTTTGCACTTCTATTCCTTTGTTTTCTCCCTTGTTCTTCCTTTTTATTCTTTATTTATTTTAGCAGATCAGCAAATATATCATGATGTCTATTGGTTGGTTATTTGGTTTGAGATTATACTTCTGATTTGTTAAATACTTGCTGCTAATGATTCAGTGATTCCAGCGGTTGACTGACGCAGATTTTCTTCATATGCAGGTTTGACAGAAAACTGAAGAACATATATGATCATTTACTCTTCAGTAGGTTGTGCTTTGCTAGACGCACTATGAAGTTTCTATTTTCCATAACAGTTTTTGTCAATAGAACTTAATTTAATTAAAAACCAACAAGATGGTGGACCTTATTGGAAACATTAATTTTGGGGTAAGGTCATACTTCAAACCTCTGCAATAGCTAAGCACACTAATTTCTCATCTGTCAATAATTTAATATAATAAAATTCGAACATCACTACAAGGTATGTTAATGAAATTCTGGTTATGCATTTCCATATACCCAAAAACTGAAATAATCCCATCTCTACCATGATTTTGGTGTTAAATTGACAAGACCTTTTGTCTGCCAGAATCATTGGAATGAAAATTCACATTTGCACTATTTAATTTGGATGGAACTTGTTCACCTAATTATTGCCCCAATTTCTTATTAACCCTCTTCCTTTTTTTCTTGCAGAAGTTCTCTTCTAAGTGTGTATGCTGACATGTCTGTGACATGTAAGGTAAACATTGTCATTGATGCCTATCTATTTCGTTGTTCTACCTCAACTTATGTTTCTTTAAGCCAGCAGGTTGCTGATATTTCTCTGCATGATGGATGTTTGCAATTC